CGAATATTATATATTTATCAAGTTGGTAAGTTATTTTATTCATTTGTATTCATTAAGTAATTGTCCACACATTTGATAACACATTACAAATGATTTAATTTATAAATTTTTCACACATCGTTAATGTATTATATAGAGAAATTAGATATTTAAAGTGCATTGTCTATGAGTTGTAAATTACAATAGAGCTATGTTAGGACTCTCTCATTCCGATTTTATTGGGGAAAACTATGAAAGGAAACTAACCATAATTTAAGGGAAGGCTGAAGCTATCTGTGCGCAAGATTCATAAACTTACTTAAAAGCCTACGGGAAGTAATATGTTAAATAAAAAACTCGTGCCAGGTTAAATAAGAAGTTTTGATTATAAAAGTTTAGAGTAGGTTAATTTTAAGTTCATTTAGCATTATGATTTAAAGAAGCGTGCACAGAATAAAATATATATGATCAAGCAATAAATACCGTTACAAAATAGATTATTACTTATTAATTGAATGAATGCTTGTAATGCACATTTCGAAGATTAAATGTTCATTAAATTTTATACCTGAAAAACCCCATTCATCAGTTTTTACAAAGGGGGCGCAAAAAAGTGCTAATTTATTTTTAAAATGTGTCTAGGAATTAGTTTACAATATTTATTTATTTAAGCGGCTTCGCCCTTACAACCCCTCCCTCCCTGAAGGACCTTAGGTCCGCTTTTGCCCAAACTTCGGTTGGGTTATGTTCATAGATTTATTTCTTCTACTATAATTAATTATAATACACATATATTCGCTAATAAAAAAAATATCTAACACAAATTACATAACCTCATAACAAATAAAAAAAATTCCTTAAACAATCCCAATATAAAAACTTTTATCTTTTAAATTTTTTTATCGGAAAAAATTATAAAAATAATTTTATTGAGTTCTTTGATTTTGCCTTTTCTTCAAAATTAAAATGGAGCTAATTTTAAAATGAACATTTAATTAATTGGAAATTAAGCACAACTTTTTGCTTATTCAAAATTCAGCGCAAAATGAATGTATAATGAAACAATTTAAATGATGAAAACGCCACCACTGATATTGTATATAAAAACGTAAATAATAAAAATTAATTGCTAAAGAAATGAAGAAATATAATTCTGCCAGTAGCATCAATGGGGGGGGGGGGGCTCTACCCCTCAAAATTTTGAATTTTTTTTATTCTACTAAAAAAAGGTAATCTTGGATAATGTTAGCTAAAAAAAGGTAATTTTAGATAATGTTAAAGAAATGTAATTTTGAAAATAATTTTAAAAAATTCCTGAGATTACAAAGGCTAGCGACCCCACTGAATTTTGCACAAGCTAGAACAATTAACATGTTAAGCATACGTTTATAAACTGTTAAGAAATCTGAGCTATTGTTGCATACGAATTATTCATCGTAATTAAAAAATAAATCTCTTTTACCTATCTTATTTATATAAGCATAGGCATAGCCATGATTTTCATAAGGGTAAGGGGGAGCAGAATTACAAAATTTCTGAGGGCTTTGCGCTCAGACCCCATTTTGGGCCGGTCTTCGGCCGGGTTTTCTTATTCTAAATAGTCATAAAATATTTTCATAAGATAGGAGGTTAATTTTAATAGAAAAAATGAAGGAACAAGTATGAAATATATTTTTATTAGTTTATATAAAATATAATAAATTGCTTATATATATATTAATACAAAAGCATGGTAATCATTTATTCCAAACAGGTATAAGAAATATCTTTATAAAAAGTAAGTAGACATTTAGTTGATATTCCTCTATTATATAGAATTGGTTACAAAGTATTAAGTAAAATTCCAATTTTACAGACACATTTGACAGTTATAAAATATATTACAGTTAATATTTTAATAAATTTTACTAATCAATGTCTTTGATAATAAATACTAGTAGAAAGCCCGTCAAAAATGACGGGGAATGAGATTTTTATTCATTTTTTACGATAGATGTCATGCCAGGTTCATTAGGAAGCATCCAAGATCTTATAATTTTAAAAAAGTTTATCAAGCCCAGCTCAAACCTTGATAATTTGTAAAAGATATTCCCAAGTCAGGTGCAAGCTAATATTAATTTTGAGGTTCCAAGCCCAGTCCTACCCATTATAATTTTGAAATATTTTCCCGCCTCGGAGATAGTTAAATTTTTAATATCATCACATGAACGGGAAATATCTGATTTACCAATTAGTCTAATATGGAAAAAAAACTTATAAATTCCGTATTAAGGGAAACTGGGAAGGCCTGGGCAACCACTCATTAGAGAATCATGACAAATAAAATAAAAATAACTTACTCTTATACTATTTTGTAATATGATCATTTAAAATTATATCTAAAAAATATGTTGTTTATTATATAGGGTTATTGTTGTTTTTCAGATAAATTTAATGTATGTCTTGCATTTCTGAAATTATTTGTCAAAAAATTTGATAAGGGATATATATTTTTTTATGTTAAGTAAAAAAAAAATGTTGTCTATTTAAATTACAAAAATGCCATTAAACACTAATGAAGCTTATATGCAAATTATTTATATATTTTTTAAGATATTTTTTTTTATTGACATATAAATTTAGGATAATTTTTTTAAAAAATAATGAGGAATATTTATTATGTATTTGATAAAATTAAGAGCACATCCTTGTTGACATTTTAATTTTTTGATGGAAAAAGCGACAAAAAAAATCTGGGCGGTCATCTGGAGATGAAATAATTAATATATAATTTTATATCATTTAGGGTTGTAGATGAAAGTGATGACGGATTAACAAAGCAGTGTACAAAACACATTACGTCCTGATAAAGATGATATGCCTATGCCTTGTGATACTGGTAAAAGAAGAACGCAAAACGATATTTCTGTCAATATCAGCATTGGTATCCCCCTCTAAAATAGAATCATGAACAACAATGTTAACTCAACCATAAAACGGTCATAAGTATTGTTATAAAGGCCATGACAGAACTACTGCATATGTTTGTATTAATAAAGTTGATGAAATTGGCCGTACTGTACATTCAAGTTTGAACACGCAAATCGATATTTCTGTCAATGTCAGCATTGGTATCCCCTTCTAAAATAGAATCATGAACGACAATGTTAACTCCATAAAACGGTCTTAAGTATTGTTTTAAAGGCCACGACAGAACTACTGCATATTTTTCCATTAATAAAGTTGATGAAATTGGCCGTACTGTACATTCAAGTTTGAACATTCCTCTAAATATTCATGAAAGTTTCTCAGAGAATGGGAGAAAGTAATATTTATATTAAATCCTAGTGAAGTGAATGGTAGTACAGTATTAAATGTTTATATTTGTTATAAATAGGCGGAGGCATAGGGATTGTGGTAGTGGTGATAGTATAATTTGGAGAACTGGGTAAAAATAAAATAAACATAGATATAAAACATAAGATAAAAATAAATAAAAATAAACCTCCAGATGAGTTCATTTCAAACGTAGTTCTTTATTATTTTGTCTACCAGTAACTCTAGAACGGGTAAGGCGTTAGTTTAATCGTCATTATTTTCTTTGCTTATCTTTAATAATAGATTGATCATGTTTTGTAGCAATGTGTGGGATTAGGGTTAGCCTAGACAAATTCAGGCAAAAATATAAATAAACTATTCTTGAAATTAAACAAACATTAAAATAGTATAAAACCGGTAGATGGGTCAATATTAGATTCATATTTCTAGTAGTTGGAGGGCTACCATCAAAAAAATTTTTTGAGGGACTTATCAAGCCTATTATGATATTAATTGATAACCCGTCAAAAATGACGGGGATGAGAATTTTATTCGTTCTTTTACGATAATTCTTTTTACCCCTCCCCCTCCTCCTTCAGGCCAATTCCAACCCATTAAGACTAAGAGAGAGGAATTGTCTTTTTTATTCAATGATTGATGAATAATATATTTTACCTTTATTTGATGATGGATGAATCAGACATTTTCCTTTTTATGAGATGTGATTTCGAAATTTATATTTTAAATTACAAAAATGAAACAATATCTCTTATTAGCACCCTAAATACTAACATTATTTACCAGAGCTCCTTTTAGTCAGAATTACTGTTCACTCCCCACCGCGTGAAGGTAGGAGATGGATTTTAGGGGAGCAAAGAAATGAAAAAAAGAATGAAAATAAGAAGGAAGAAATAGAAAAAAAGAGACAAAGATATGAATTATAAGAGAATATAATAAATATTTATACTTCAAGAGTTGATGATTATCGGGTTACAACACATATGCATTTGTAGCCATATAAAAAATATAATATAATAAATTTTATAATATAGAAAATTTTACCTAAAAAAGGAGATTTCAATCTCTTTTCTTTGCTCAAGGTGGTTTCGTTTTTGAAGATGATGTTGTGATTTCCTTGCTCGTAGTTTGTCGTAAATAACCTGAAATAAAACGTGTAAATTGAAATTAAATAGAATATACTGTTGTTGGTGAGGAAGATGGTTTAGCGATGGTGAAGAAGTTCTTTTTTCTTTGCTCAAGGTGGTTTCGTTTTTGAAGATGATGTTGTGATCTCCTTGCTCGTAGTTTGCCGTAAATAACCTGAAATAAAACGTGTAAATTGAAATTATATAGAATATACTGTTGTTGGTGAGGAAGATGGTTTAGCGATGGTGAAGAAGTTGTTTTTTCTTTGCTCAAGGTGGTTTCGTTTTTAAAGATGATGTTGTGATTTTATTGCTCGTAGTTTGCTGTAAATAACCTGAAATAAAACGTGGAAATTGAAATTATAAAGTAGAATATACTGTTTTTGGTGAGGAAGATGGTTTAGCGATGGTGAAGAAGTTCTCTTTTCTTTGCTCAAGGTGGTTTAGTTTTTGAAGATGATGTAAAGTTGGTGATTTGATGGTGAATAACAAAGTTGGTGACTTTTTTAAATTTCTTACAAATTATGAATTTAAGATTTCATTATATACGATATTTTGTGTGAATGTTTTATCATTTTTTTAAATTTTTCCTTGTAATTCTGATGGCAAAATCATAATTTTCATATTATTTTGAGATTTACATCTAGTAAGAGCCACATATAGTTGTACATGGGCAAAGACGGGCTCAGGGAGGAATAAGCCTACATGATCAAAAGTTTGTCCTTGACTTTTATTTATTGTAATCACAAAAGCGGGAATTATAGGAAACTGTCGTCTTTTTAAAGTAAATGGTAACTGAGAGTCACTTGGAGCTAGATCTATTCGTGGGAGAAAAACTCGATAACCCTTATTAGTGCCTGTCAATACCTCAGCGTCGATAAAATTAATATGTAAATGTCGTATGATTAAACGGGTACCATTACAAAGTCCTTTCTTTGGGCTCAAGTTGCGTAATAGCATAACAATTGTACCAACCTTAAGTGTTAGCTTGTGAGGTGGCATACCGGATGGAGTTTGTGAATGCAAAAATTCTAGTGGAAAATTCATTATATCATCCTTATTATCGCTTTCAATGGAATCTGCACTATAATAATGTTTGATAGGGCCTGAAATTATATTAATGATATCGTTGTTGAGGGTAAGTGCAATTTTATTTTTGGTGGTTAATATTATTTTAGTAGAAAGACTATCTATATCAGCAATTTCTATAGAATTACCATACACACATTTTATTAATGAATCATTTTCAAGCAAATAAGGTGGGATTTCAACACTATTTGTAGGAAGATCAGAATTGCTGCGTGATAGCCCATCTCCAATTTTAAGTAACCAAGCATTGTAATCAACTTGATCTGATGAAATACGCATATTATCAATCAAATGTATTATTTTAAAATGACTCCATAAATATGAACTTTTTATACAGGACTCTATAATATCGACTTTGGAGCCTTTAGGCACTACTGGTAAAGTCTGTCTAAAATCACCACCTAATAAAATTACTTTTCCGCCAAATGGGTGGGAATTTTTCATAATATCTTTAAGTAATCGGTCAATGCATCGCAAAGCGTGTTTAGTCATCATTGTGGCCTCATCGATAATAATCAATTTGCTATTTTTAATATCTAGAGCTAGCGAACTATGTAAATTCATATGGGATGTAGAAGTTTCAAAGGTAGGCACAGGTAATTTAAATCCGCTATGGATGGTTCTTCCCCCCTTTAAAAGAATAGAGGATATGCCGGTGGTTGCAAAAGGCAATACAATTTGATTTTTTTGCTCTTATATAACACATTAAGGTATTGTAAAGATACGTTTTACCTGAACCTCCAGGGCCATCCACGAAGAAATATCTTTCTGGAATATTTTCTAATTCAATCGCTTATATAATTAAATCAAAAGCATATTTTTGTAATCGGTTTAATTTAGATATACGCTCGATTGAATCGGCAGCTTCAACATGGGCATCATAATGTTGTTTTGGGGGGATTTTTGTAGGTGAAGGAAGATCAAAACTTTGACAGCATAAACCATGATCAAGAAAAACGTTTTCAATGTCCATTAAAGCCATGTTTATTGCAATTACTTCTGAATTTTGACGCAAATAATCTTCAATCATCATAAATCTGAACCTATTCCATAGATATGCAGGATTTTCAGGCTGACAAAAAATGCAGATAAAGGCAAAAGTACTCCGAAGTTGTGACGGCATTTGATATATTGATCCCTCTTCTAAGCATGATTCCCACTCTTTATCATCTGATAACAAATTTCTTTTAATAGCTGCCTCTTTAAAAGTACTCATTAAAATTCCATTAATAGTTTTTAAATAATCAAAACTTGTAGCCCCGCAAACATGAAGTAATAATAATCGAAGGAAGAATCGTTCACCAGAATTAGGATGAACGGAATACATTCTCGAAATTACATTTAATCGTATTTTTCTTAGTTTCCAATGGTAATTTGTAAACACATAATGATAAGGTATTTCCCCATAAAGATATTGTCTAGCATTTAGATCTGTCTTATTTAACTCAAATCATGCCGTTAAAGTAGTATGTTTATTTTCTGATCTCAATAAAGCATCTCTTTCATGTCCAGCAGTGAAATATACTGGCTGTTGTAAAGGTAAATGAATTCCTAAGCGAATAACAGCGTGCGAGCGGTCATGCATATTATTTTCTAATAATCTCCACATTGATTCACATGCACTCACATATCCCGCATTTAAATGTGATTTAATTTCGTCATGAATATTTATATTTGAAGCAACATTAATGTCAACATTCGTACAGTCATAGCCCTTATAAATATACTTAAAGATATATTTTACCGATTTAATAGATGTACAAATTTCCATGTTAATATGAGCATTGAATTTTAACATTAGATATCGATTATATGGAATAACATAACGATTATCCGTAGGTTTACCGGAAAGAATTGTAATACCATTATCTCGCCTTTTATAATATGGATAACCATCAATATTTGGTCTTGTTTCCATTTGAAAATCCTTCGGAAATTTTTTGGTACATATGCCATTTTCCATGCAAGGCGATTTGGGGTTAAATATCCCGCAAGGACCATGTATCATAAAATGGGTAACAATCTGAAAAAGTTTAGGATCGAGAATTTTATCTGGCATTTCGGCACAAACAAATTTATCTATAGCTTGAGATGTTTCAATTTTGCTATCATCGTTTAAAATAATAAGTATATGGGCATGAGGCAAACCTCTTTTTTGGAACTCGATTGTATATATAAAAGCCATAGATTTACCAAATAAATTTTTTTTATTTATATCGAACAATAATTCATTTAATTTCAATTTAAAAACACGGGCTATTAAATCTGGTCTATCTGTAGGACTTTGCCCGGGAAATAGATTTTCCTTAATTTCACGCCAATTAGGATTGCATGTAAAAGTAATAAACAAATCAGGTTTGCCAAATTTGAGCACAATGGTCATTGCATCGTGATAGCGTTCTCGCATATTTCTTTGAGAACCTTGAAAAGATGATGGTAATATTACTGCTTTGCCGGGAATTATATTGTTTGACTTTGTTTCCAAGTTGTCCATTAATCCAGAATATTCATCTACTCGTAATTTTGGCTGATTTTGTCGAATAAAATTTAAATTATTCGCCTCGACCTGTAAATAGGAATCAACAATATATTGTTGTGATAATTTCCCAGCAAAAAGGATTGGGTTGAATTCATTTTCACGAATTGCTAATCTAAATATTTTAAACTGTAGTAGTGAGATATTTGCCCTTGTACGCCCTTTATCTTCACCCTTTAAATCTGGTTTCCAACCAGGGTCACCAAAAGGAAATAATAGAGGATATACCATTGGATCAAGATTAGGGCTTAATATATTTATATTTATCAGATCACTACCATCAACTCGAGGATAGACCTTGATATCCCGTTTAAATGGAGGTTCACCATCATCATTTGTAAAAATCATAGCTACTTCATCTATATTAGGAATGTTATATCTTCGCTTGTCACTTGAGCGATCTGCACGAAAAATCATATTGATTTTTTGAACTGGACGATTTTCTTGAATAGCCCTATTTTTTTCTTCTTTCTCAATTTCTCCCAAGGTTTTAAAACTAATAGAAAATGGGTTATTCTGTCTTATTAAAATATCTAATCTTTTTAAGAGATCCTCATTGCAACCAGAATTTTCTTTCATAACCTGCCATTAACAGCCTGGGTGGTCTCAAGGACATATAGTTGTGCAAATTTAGGAGGCATCCCAGTGGAAGGATATAAATGAGATGTTCGGTGATAAATTTGCCCATGAACTCTAAAACAATATGGGCCTGGGTTTAAACTATTAGAAATCTGTGCTCCCATGGATGCGAACGCAAGTAAACTATTATAAGATCTTATATATTTCATAAAGTTTGAATGAAATTCATTGTTAGGATTAGATAAAAGGTCTTGTAAAAAAGGAATATATCGGATTGATGGTATCTAACTTTACCCTTATGACAGCAATTCTTAAATTTGCCATCTGTGGGTTTTTCGAATAAAAAATTTAGAGAATCGCAATAATCGCACTTAGTGTTGAATAATCCACAATAATGTTCTTGTACTAATGATTGTTGTGCAAAAATATTTATCTAAACTAAATAAAATAAATTTGAGGCCTGCTAAAAATTATACATATAATTTAATATTTTTGTGATTATTCAGAGACCTGCAGACCCGGTGTAATTGTAAAATCAATACCAAAAATCAATACGTTATTGATTTTTATAAATCTTTGATTCGACATTTATATAAGAATCACAAAATTTTATAAACTCAATCAATAAGGTCCATTTAATTTATTTGAATTCATAATATCATTTATAAAACTTTGAATCAACAATTATATAGCACTTCACAAATTACAAATAATGAGTAAACAAATATAAAATATATAGGATATCAAGAATTGTAAAATAAATAAATTCCCTGATAAATTATATAAAAGAATAGAAAATCATATTTATCATTTTAATATATTTAAAACTATTAAATCTATTTTAAATAAAATTTTTACAAATCGAAAATGGCCGCCAATATTTATAAAGCGATGAAAAAATATATAATAAATAAATATTTTATAATTTTAATGGTGGCCAATATATTTGAAGCGATGCAAACATCTTAAAAATCTATACGGTATTGATTCTACAATAGCAATATATCACTACGGTATTGAATCTATAATGATATCAATAAGGTATTGAAGTTACAATGGGTATTGATTTCACAATCAATACACCGGCTCTGATGTAAACATATGCCAGGCTTATAATAATTTTTTCTAAAATATTCCATGGGTAATTACGATTATGTAGTACATACTTATTTTATCTTATATTTTGCCCGTCAAGATGATAGTGAAATAAAATTTTTCTTTTTTATTAGTTGATGAAATATATTTTTTATTGTGGACATAAATTAAAATTAATAACCATATACTTCATAAATAAATAATAAATTTTGAATAACCCCTGATGATGGATAAATCAAAAATTTTCTTATCTATCTTATGAGATGTGATTCAGAAATTTATATTTATTAAAATATTTGTTATACATAAATTAAAATTTTTAACTTGGTTTGTTTTTATTGATTTGGGTAGAATAAGATTTTGGTGAATAGTAGATTTTGGTAGTGTCTAATTTAAAAAAATTTATTTGTTAACATAAATTAAAATTTTTAACTTCGTTTGTTTCTATTGATTTGGGTAGATTAAGATTCTGTTGAATGGTACATTTCGGTAATATGATTCGTAGAATCTAATTTAAATAAATTTATTTGTTAACATAAATTAAAATTTTTAACTTTGTTTGTTTTTATTGATTTGGGTAGATTAAGATTCTGTTGAATGGCACATTTCGGCAATATGATCCGTGGAATCTAATTTAAATAAATTTATTTTTTAACATAAATTAAAATTTTTAACTTCGTTTGTTTTTATTGATTTGGGTAGATTAAGATTCTGTTGAATGAATGGTACATTTTGGTAATATGATTCGTGGAATTTAATTTAAAAAAATTAATTTATTAAGATAAATTAAAATTTTTAATTTGGTTTATTTTGATTGATTTTGGTAGATTAAGATTCTGCTGAATGGTACATTTCGGTAATATATATCGTGGAATCTAATTTAAAAAAAATCTATTTGATAACATAAATTAAATTTTTAACTTCGTTTGTTTTTATTGATTTGGGTAGATTAAGAGTCCGTTGAATGGCACATTTCGGCAATATGATCCGTGGAATCTAATTTAAATAAATTTATTTATTGTCATAAATTAAAATTTTTAACTTGATTTGTTTTTATTGATAACTGAAAAAATTATACTTAGATATTGCACCAAAGGTATCTTGTGTAGGAATCTAAAAAAAATAATAAAATAGATTTTAAGGCCCACAGTAATGTTCAACTTGTTCTTGATTTTCAGTATCTTCAAGATGATTGGATGTTGAAGCAAATTGTTTATTTCCAGTATCTTCAAGATGGTTGGATGTTGTAGGAATAAGACTTTGCTCGTTCCTTTTCTTGATACGACAAAGTGCCTGTCTCTTTCTAGCTTTCTCCTTATGTTGATTTATTATTAAAATTTAAAAATATAAGAATTACTCAATTTTATAAAAATAAGTTTAGTTTAAAATATTTATTATTGTGGACATAAAATAAAATTACTAAATATATACTTCATAAACATATTTATAAAAAATAATGGAAAATATTAGAATAGCCCCTCACCTAATAAATATATATTTCGAAATCACATCTTAAAAATATAAAATTTACTCTTGTTGAAGCAATAATGCCTTCTTTAGATTTTGGTAGTATGAAACGTTCCTTGTTTGGTTTTGTTGAATGGTATCTTGTGTAGGAATCTAAAAAAAATAATAAAATAGATTTTAATGGCCCACAGTAATGTTCAACTTGTTCTTGATTTTCAGTATCTTCAAGATTAAGATGTGTAAATTGAAAGTATATGGTTTTGCTCGATGTGGTGTCTGTTAAAAAATATAATTATTTACTGATGATTGAAGGTTTTGCTCGATGTTGTGTCTGTTAAAAAAAATATCAATTATTGTAATTATTATATTATTATATGTTTTGTAATTGTTTTTTGTATTGAAATTCTTTTTTTGAAAATGGCGGTCGATTTGGTTTATGAATGCGTGTTTGATATGTTTAAGCTATGATGATTTTTATTAAATATATATATTATAGATTTGAATTCCTTAGCTCTTGTAGGATTATCTGCAAACATTTTTTTCACACTAATGTTCCTTCCTGCCTATTGCCTCAAAATACTTCTGAAATGCTTTCCATGATTTATAGGAGATTTAATCCATTTTGCTAATATGATCTAAATTGGCTTAAAATTGCTATGATAGATAGATAGATAAATTATAGATATATAGAAAGAACAATATATTTGACATCAATTAAGACAAAATATTTACATTTCAACTTAGAAATATAATGCTATTTAAAATAAAATATAATATTATAGATGGCGCTAAATACCATGGAGATTAAAACTACAATTTAACATAACTTAAATATTTCCGAATTTGTTAATATTAATTAAATATTATTAAGAATCACTCCCTATTTAAGTAGGGATAACGTTCAATAATTAATAAAGAAGTTGAATATTACATAATATATTAACAAAATTATAATTGACTATTATCAGGTAAAATAATTGACTATATAATGTCACAGTTGTGACTGTGACTGCTATAATCATTTTGATTGGACAAATAATATTTAAAAGAAAACTATTGGCTAAATTTGATTGACATTTTTTGAGGATTATATATATAGATTCTAAATAAAAAATAACATGATGAATGTAATGTTATTAAGATTAAGGTTAATTAATTGTAAGGTAATTAAAAAATAAGATTAAAAAAAGGGGGGGGGGGTAAAGAAGGTATAAATTATTATATTATATAAATAATATAAATTAAATTAAAGGAGTTGATAAGGTTTGGTTATCATCAAAAAAATTTTTGGGGGACTTATCAAGCCTTAGTTAAAAAATAACATGATGAATGTAATGTTATTAAGATTAAGTATAATTAATTGTAAGGTAATTAAAAAATAAGATTAAAAAAGGGGGGGAAAAATATATTATAAAAATTAAATTAAAGGAATTGATAAGATTTTGAGAAATAGTGGTTAATAGATAATACAGATAGAAAGAAAATAATGAGATAATAAAATTTAGTGATAATAAATTCATTAAGGGAGGGGAAAAAAATAAAGAAAGAGTTATATAATAAGGATTGGAGATTATAAATAGGTTAGGATAAGAATATTTAAATATTTGAATATACTTCGTTATCTTCTTAATTATTGGTTATGAAAGAAAAATATGAGTATAAAAAATTGTAATGTTAGTACTGACAAAAATTGTGAGTATGTTCAAAATAAATATAAAAGTTGAGTATCTTGTAGAGATTTCATTAATGTGTAATTGATAATATGAGATGAAAATTGATAAGGTAATGTAAAAAATAAAGAAAGGATTAAGTAAAATAAAAAGTTTCATTCATATTTACAAAGTTGAGGGAATATTGTTTTTATAAATTCAAGGACGATTTTTCAAATCTCTCAATCCATGTTAGGTATGTGTTCACCATCAATTCTCGAAATTCCATTCATCTGTTTGTAAAAATAAATAAATAAAATCAACAAATAAAAAATATAAAAATAAATACGTAGCAATGACATGACGTCACGTTGACGTAGTGAGGACATCGGGAAATTATAATATAGATAAGCAGTGACCCCTACACTTTTTGAGGGATAGAAGCAGAATACCCCCCTAAAGTACCCCCCCCCCCCCCCCATTGTAAATTATTTTTTGACACCAATAAATTTCAAAAATAATTTTTATTGCATCAATATTTATTATAATATAAATATAATGTAAAAAATATATGCTTTAAAAATATTATTTTTAAATTAATAATTTAGATAAATTAGGGGAAGAGAAAGCAAAAGAATTTATAATTTCATCAATATTTAATTGTTTAAATAAATTATTTTCCATTGATAAAATGGTTAAATTATTAAGAAATGGATCTTTCATGACACTACGAAGTCTTGTTTTAATTAGTTTAATTTTACTCATGACCCTTTCGGCAGTACATGATGT